TGGGTCAGAAAGATGTTAATTTTGTTAAAAACTTAAAACCTGAAGATGCCATTCTCACAACACAAAGAGATAAACAAATTACTGAACTTACTCAGCAAGGCACTGAAATCCTTCCAAAGTTTAAGTAGCATTTTGTTTTTTAAACCTACTTCTTTAACAAATCTATCTGTCCCAAAGAATCTGTATCAGATGCAGAGCTCACCATCTCAGATGAAATTCCAGTATGATAGTTGGCACTGTGGTCAGAAGCCTGTAAATGGCATGTTTAAACCTAGAAAGTACTTCAGGTACTTCACAAAAATGGAGTGCTTGGAGACATTAATCTTCAAAAAGTGGAATTAATTTAGAAGGAAATCTCATTAAAAGTAAAACCGTCATGTTCTTCAATTTCCATTTCAAACACTGATGCCTGATTCCAGCATTATCATGCTCAAACTTGAAATGAGCTATTTATCATCTGTCTTAAGTGGGAAGGAGATAGAACATTCAGATTCAGACCAGTGGCAAGACTAATAAAAAGAAGCCAGAAGACTGGGACAGAGGAAGATTTGCTATACATCACAGTCACAATAACAAAACAAACAAACCCCAAAACAATCAAAAAAAGAAAAACCACACAAAATACCCCAGAAGGGACAAAGGTTATTTCTCTATTCAGTATTTAGAATAGAAAACAAGACACATAGCTGGTGCAACTACGGAACATAAATTAATGAACTAGATAAGTTCAAGATCCCTTCCAACCCAAACCATTGTACAATTCTAATGCACTGGTCAAAAATAAGCCCAAACTTGAAAAGTGAGAGTATAGGGCAGCATTTATTCTGTCAAATAAGACAGAAGACTTCACCCCATGAAAAGAACACTAGGACAGTGCACAAGCAAAGTAGCAGAATTTTGTGGGGGGTTTAAATTTCACCAATTTAAAATTAATGGGGTTTTTTCATAGTCAGAAGAAAGAGAGAATGTGGCTAAAGTACTAGTTTAAGGGTCACAACTTCCTCTGTTAATCACTCCTGCCTTTATAAGCAAGAACAGGTGCTCCTTCAGATGCGCTGGAACAGGCTGCTGATAGAGCCACAATGCGAAGTAAACTAGGGCATTCCTAAATAACCTTTATTTTACATTTTTACCTTGCATATATTCAAATATCAAGCTCCTGACACTGATCCCTGGACAGGCAGTGCTAAAAGAATGGAATACCCTAATGCGTAGTGCTGAGAGAACCTCTTTTACCAGGTACTGCTGCTGAAACACAGGTATCATGAATCATCTCTTTAAACAGAGAAGCTCCTCTCTGCAAAACATTACAGTGTTTCTGGCCAGTCTCTAATTTAATTTGGGAACACTGCCTCCCCAGTTTCCTCTTCCACTGAAGCATCTTCCTAATCCCAGGGAGATTCCCATCCCAGTCCTTATCGCACCATCACTGTGTTAGCACAAGGAATAAACAGCAGAACCAACCAGGAACGCAGCAAAGTAACACAGAAAAGATAAAGAATTTAAAAAATGAAAAGGAGCAGAGGGGATAATTATAGCTGGATCAGAAGTTTAATCCATTCTCAGCATGACAAATAGATAAGGACAACACATAGGTAGTGCAGAAGAAGTAAACGCCTCAAAGCCTGTAACTGCAGTTCAGGACGTTATCAAGGGAAACTACTGCATGTATTTTAACATTAAATGTATTTTAAACAACTACACTTCATAGAAAATGAATGCAAATAAGCACTGCTGGATGCTGACTGTGATCAGAGAGACAACACCGGGTAATACCCAAGTTAGAAATAACCAAATTGCCCCTTCCTCCATTATCTTTCTCATACCTATTTCTGAGGGATATAACAATAATACCCAATAGCACTCAATTTTACCACACAGTGATAAAACAGAATTGATACATTCCTCTTTGGTTTTACCCAACCTAGCTGTAAGAAGTCTTGAACTGATGCAAATGCATCTATTTATATCAAGAAGAGCAGGTGATGTAAGCAGTGGAGTTCCTCTGTAGAGTCAGTACCTTTATGTAAAAGAACAAAACATTCTCTATGCTCTTTGTTGTGGTGGGTTGTTTTTTTAACTCTTCCTGCCCTCAGATCTTAAGAGTTTTTGTATAAATCAGTACTCTCAGGACTGTAAGACTTTTTCCAGTTTTATGTCAGCTTTTGCAAATGAAAAGCGTAAGTCTTCCATCTTTTCTTAATAATCACACCTTACAGGAAAATCTGCTTCAGACAGACGATTTGCATGCTTTCCCAATTTTATGTCCAGCAGCACAATACAGGGAAAGCAAGGCTGCTCACTGACTTCAGCTTATTTCAGTCAAATGATTTCTCCCCCTGGTTATTTTTAAACACTGGAACGCCATGGCTATTCTTAGAGGTTCATAGAATGGTTTGCGGTGGAAAGGACCATATAGCTCATCTAGTTCCAACTCCCCTGCCATGAGCAGGGACACCTTCCACTGCACCAGGCTGCTCAAAGCTCCATTTCTTTTACATTATAGACATATTTGGCAATTTGGCTGTTTGGGTGTTTGTTTGTTTTTTGTGCCAGTTTTGTTGTTTTTTTTCCTAGCTGCAATATTTGGCAGTAATTTAAATCTTGAGGTACCCCTATTAGGCCAAGGACTCCATGATGAGAGTAAATCAGCATTTTACATAGAATTCTTTCAGTTTTTTCAACAGCTTTGTTAGCAGGACCTTCTCTAGCAGGAAGAGGGGTTTTATTCCACTTCAGCAATGTTTTTTGTTCTGGAGCATCACTCTGTACAAGGGGATAAGGCTGCAGGTAAAAAGTACAATGCTTCTTACAAGATGCAGCTTCATATTGTCTCACATGAAAGGTATCTCAGGAAATCCTCTGTAATCCTCCTATTCAACCCAAAAATGCAGCAAGTCTGTTCTATAGAACAGTCACAGTTTTAGGTGTGTTGTGCTGAAGGCACAAATGAAGGATTTGCAGATTAAGATGAGACCTTGTCTTTACACCTCAGGAAGATACAGTGCTACACACATATAGTGTAAAGAAAAAAAAACCCACATTATTTTGTTTTGGACAAATATTTACAAACACCTCTTCACTGTATAGACTTTAAGAGGCAGAACGTCTCATCAGTACATACAGCTTAGTGCATATTTTTTAAATGCTGCATGAGATAACCTGTTATTATCCAGATCATGTACTCAGAATACCAGATATCCCAGAGCTGGTATGTCAGACTGAGTAACTAGATCAGTTGAAAGATTTGTCAAGCAAACTCTTCCCAGTCACCCTCAGTGCTCAAGCTCAGTGACAGGAGAGGGATGAAAAAAGAAAAAACACATCTGATTTTTTTCCCCCAGTTCCACAGATGTGCACACACATTTTTGTCCTCGCACTATGTTGGAGAACACACCTGCGCTTCAGAAAGTACTATATAGTTTTAAAAAACAGCAGCAAAAGTTAACTGCAAAGAAAATAAAAAAAGGAGTACCAAAGTTTTTTAAAAGTAGATTTCCAAAGTCAACAACTTCTGAGAAGAACATACACAAGTCACTGCTATGCATCCCAGGCACCCCAGCAGAGTTTATGCACATAGCCAGACATGGAACAGGCATGGAACTACAGTTCACTGAGCTCTTCAAGTCTAGACCAAAGCCCCAGCCTCCTCTAGAATAGACAACTCTCGTATCTAACGAAGTCCCTCCACCTGCAGAAGGGAAGAAACTGTACAGGTTCCAGGCAGCAATACAGGCATGCTGCAACACCAAGGTCTGTGAAGACACTGAACAAAAGAGAACGGGGGCAATGCTTTTTCTTCCTTTAACGCAGGGCCTGCTAAAGGGGTTTGCTATTAACTGCTAACCCAGCAATCTTCAGGAAATAACTTCACAATCTTTCTGTCGAGGAAGATTAATCAAGTTTATTGCAAATATTGAAAAATTTACTGTTTTATTTAGCTATTATATTACATGGGTTCTCTACAACATTTAAAACTCTCCAAAAAACAAAGCACCAAAAACCTACATACCACCCTCATGAACTTCTAAAACTACCACTGAAAATTCATTGAGTAGTAACTAGACTTATCCAAAAAGTAAACTTAACTACACTACCTGTCCAGGAAAGGCATCCAATTGTCACCTTTTGAATCCAAAACTAGGGTTTACTATCAGTTTTAAATGACAATAAAAACCTAGACTTCAACATCAAGAGACTGCAAAGAAGCTCCCATTCACTAAAGCAAAAGTGATAGCAACGTCAACAAAACCCCCAGAGCCTCAAAGTATAACTCTGGTTTGGGTGCCACCTCAGGTGTTAGACTCAGATTTCATAAGCTCATGAGGGCAGGGAGAGGTATGCACCTGTGAAAGAAAAGCAAATTTATTTTGCCCACGTAGGCAGCGATAGTGACACAGCTGTTGGTTTACCTGCTGGCCCAAAGCCACCAGAGCTAAGACCTCAGGTAATGTAACACTATGTTCCTAAACCACAAATTTCCAATCCTTTCTCCCTGTAACTTAAAAGTGGGAATAACAACTGGTAGGAAGGATAATTACAAAAATAACAGTATTCCTAATTACAGCACCATAAACACGTGCAGAATAGGCACTATGAAGTGGCCTTTATCCTTAACCATAGAGCACTTAATCTGCAAGTTAGACTCAGGGTTTTTCACTCCTCATGTCCATACCACTTCAAATATACTGCTTCATATGACACAGCTTTGCCTACACATGATCCATGTGCTTCCCCTGCAACCCAGCACCCACGGTAACATGTATGAAGTGGCACTGCCACTGAACCTGCGACAAGGGAAGAAGAAATGCAAAACCAGGGCAGCGTTTCCCGTCGGCAATTACAAAACCGAGAGGCGACACGTGTCTCCCCGCAAAGGGCTGAGCCCTCATGCCGTTACTATTAAGCAGCCTACCCCTGGGGCTCTACACCGCGGGCTGAGTGGAGCCCACCTCCGGGCCCGCAGTCTCCCACCTGAGGAAAGGGACCCCGGCACCCACCTGCACGGCGGGGAAGGCGCTCTTCAGCAGATAGAACATCTTGCGGTTGGACAGCAGGTCACCGCTCGTCAGCTGCTCCTCGGCCCCCTCCCGCGTCTTCCCCTTGGCCTTGGCATTGAGGTCGTTGCCATCACGGACCCGCTTCACCTCCTCCCCACCCCTGACAGCAGCCAGGACGGACACGGCCAGCAGCTCCCGCAGGTCCACGGCACCAGAGCCGTGGGGGGTCTCGGGCTCGCCGGCCGCCGACTCGCTCAGCATAAAGAAGGCGAAGCGGCCGGCCAAGAAGCCGGAGTAGAGGTGGTAGAGAACACCCAGCCCCAGCAGGCAGAACACAGCCATGCCGAGCGGCGAGAGACGGATCCCCATGGGGGCCATAGCCGCGGGGCGGAGGGGGGGGGGGGGGGGAACAGTAGAGCAGGCAGCGGTGCCGGGCGCTCACCACAGACCCATAACGCCGCCGGGGCGCTCCACTCTCTGCTGCTGCCGTTGCTGCCGCCGCTGCCGCTACACTGGTAGCAAGACCAGCCCGGCTCCACACTCCTCAACGGGCCGGCGAGCAGACAGCACTGTCTGTATCCGGGTCAGGCGGGGCGGGGCGGGGCTCGCCGTTCGCACTGAGCATGTCCCACTGCCCGCTCCGCGGGATTTGAGGTGCCGTGTCGCTCTGCGGGTACCTCGGTGGGACGGTCCTGTCGTTTCCGATCGCGGGCACATCTGACAGCGCACAGGCACCCGCTGCTTCTGGCGGAAAGCGTGATTTCGGGTGGCTTCATTTCCTAGGCTGCAGGTGTGCTCCAGCCTGCTGTCTGCGAGGGCTGCTCGGAATGATGGCTCGACAGGCCGGGAAGGAGCTTTCAGGCGGAAATCGCAATTTGCAGTAATTGCTGCTTAATTTCTGAGATTTGCGGTTCTGAGTGTCTCTTGTTTTTTTCATACTCGTTAGGTAACTTTGGAGCCCTTGGCTCCCTTGTGCTTCCGGAAGGCGGATTCCTTTCATTCAATAAACTGAAGCATATCCTAACCATTTCCTCAACCAAGTGATGTGCTAAAGGCCCACGTGTCTTAATTTATACTTTCTCTTTGGTTCTCAGCTGGTGTGGGAGAGTGTGAAACTGCATGTCTGTGACCAGGATGGACGTCTGAGGTGAAAAGCAGCAGTCTGATTTTTTTCCTCTTCTCTAATTCCCTCTGGGAGTTTTGAGTAAGTTATATCAGAAACAAACAGAAAGCATGTTTTGGATTAATCGTGTTCTTTTACTCAAGTAATACTCTTGTCTCTTGATATACAGGTTATAGAAACAGACCTTGTTAGTGGCTCTGGGGATAACTCATTACTAGGAATCATGCAGTATAACACTTTTCTTGGGATCTTGTGGCTTCTTTGGGTTATTTTTTTAAGTAATCGCAAATGTGTAAACTAGGAAAGACCAAAATTAAGATTGGCCTTGCAAACTGAAATTGCAGTACCATTTCCTCTACTTACATTTTAAACATGAGTACATACCAAGTGTCCCTCAGGGTCAAGTGTCTGCATGGACAGAAAATGAAAGGACTGTAGAAAGAGAAAGCATACAGTTTGAAATGGGATTTAGAAGAGTTTGATTTTACTCTTAGTTTTAGTGGGATTTAACTTTACATGCTAGTAGACAACAACTAGAATGCTTCCCGTTCTTCTTATGGTTTAAAGGTTTTTTTTCTATACAGTTGCTTCTCTGGCAGAAAGGGGGCTTGAAAAGATACACTGGTCACTTTGATTTCACGAGTCAGCTTTTCATACAGTAAGGGTAAGAAACTGTGCTGCAGCACAGGGTTGGTGTTGGACAACGAGTAAACTTGTGTCTGTAATGAGCCATGAGTGCAAGATTAAATTAAAAAATGCTGGGCAAAGTAGTCAGCAGCTCTGCTGCCTGCTGCTGTCAATCACAGTTTATGTGTGTTCAGTAAACAGGAATTTTAAACTACTGGTGAAGGAGGAAACCCAGGAGAAGGAAGAAAACCTGCAACTTTTTGAGCTGGTTTCCTACTTAATGCAAAGAAGGTGAAGTATTAGGATTTTTGTCCCACTGAGGCTTGCAAAGACCTTACAGAGGCATAGAAAAATTGTGCATTTATTACTTGCTGATAACATTTCTGTGCCTGCAGTGAATATAAAGAGTAAATATTGACAGTAATGTAGACTGTGAAGAGGACAGTGGGCGGAGGGCTCTTTATTTCAGTGATACCGTATGTACCATCTATGCCAGCTTTCAGAATAAACAGTGTTTGTTACTGAATGCAGTCACATAACCAATAGACAATATGGTGGCATCCCTTTTCTCCGTAACAATCTTGTTCTGTAATTACCAATATAATTTTTAAAGGACTCATTCTGGCACCTGACATGCTGTTTTTCCAAGATTCCTAGGTCAGGTTCCTCATGTTCATCAAAGGTGCTGTTGATTTTAGTTGGGCTCCAAAGCACTGCGGAAATCTTTGCAAAGTGCTCCTGGCATATGGCATAAAAGGGGTTTAGGCTAGGGTTTTTTTATGGCTTCAACACATAAGATGGGTTTGCAGAGACCATAACATAGGCACAAAATGAAATAAACTTTGAAAAAAAGAGAAAGAAAAATTTGTCTGCTTATTCTTTGCAAAAGGAGCTGCATGACATGAAGAGTAAAGTAAAAATCTAATGGAAATGTTCCTTTTGAAAATATAAAACTATTATTTTGGACATTTTAGTCAATTATGGGTCAAATAATTTGATAGATTTGGAAAATTAGAGTTTTGCCTGAGTCAAACCAAGTTTTAAAACATATTTGTGTTTTTGACAGGAAAATTACATCTGTTTGTAATATTGAAATGATCCTTGTCTGAGTGAAGAAAAAAGTGCTCCAACCTGGATTGAAGCTGAGGATGCAGATCTGATCTTACATATATCTCTGTTGGATCTGAGTCAGCTTTATGTGAAGGCAGCCCTGACCTTGAGGGCGCAAACAACAGGCTGATTTGATGAAAGTAATGCGTCCCTTTAACTTCCCGCAGAAAGAGTTGCTGTGGAAAGTCTTGGCAGAGCTTCTCAAGTGGGTTGCAGTGTGCTGGGAGTGAAATACATAGCTTTGTTAGGTTCATGTAGCAGAGGCTGTGCATGACAGAGAGGCAATGTGTTGGTGCAGTCTGATTCCTCGCTTGACCTTGCCAAAAGTGATGCTTGTGCTGTTCAGCACAACATTACCATAGAGTACTTTGGGTTGGAGGGGATTTTCATAGGTCATTAGTCCAAGTCCTCTACAGTGAGCAGGAACATCTTCAATAAGATCAGGTTGCCCAGAATCACATCCAGCCTGGTCTACATTCATGAGATGAATGGTGGTGACTTTGGCGGAAAGGTTGTACTTTGAGTTTGGGAGATTGATGAAGGGGTCACTAGCTGGCAGGGAAAAAGCATAAACAGAGATGTTCTGAGCACTGGGTGGGGATCTCTGGGGAGCACAATGGGGAAGGCTGTATAGGTACTGGTAACCTCTGACCACAGTCAGGGGAGTCAGCAGTGGAGAGGAGAGAGGTATTGCCGTACACAAAACCCCTGTTTGTGCTATGGCTGTGTGGGGAGCATGCCAGAGCGCAAAGAGTTTGGTGTGTGACTTGTAGAGTCTGTGGCAAGAATGAATAAATTAGTGCTTGTCCAGACTCACATTTTTTTGTTGACAGTACATTACACCACAGCTGCTTTGTCAGCATCAGTGCTGATTCATGGAAAAGCAGCTAATGCCTGCATCTTCCATAGCTCCAGCCATGGGAGCAGGTTAACAGGGGCTGGTGGCAGCATCAGATGTGCTTTGTTGCTGGTTGTTTCTCTATGACTCCTGCTTAACCCTGATGGTTTACGGAGTCACTCATGGGCAGTCTCCCTGAGTGTTTGGTTTTTGTGTCTGCAGCTGCAGTGTGCTGGAAGAGACAGGGAGTCCCTCAGGGTCATAGCAGAGTTTGATCTGCGGCACATGGGAAAGATCTGCTGTGTCTGCTTCTGAGAGGCCAGGAAGGAGCAGATGGTTTTTGGATGGGACCAAAGTACCTGACGGGAACCTGTTGGGCAAGTGTTTGCACCAGCTGCAGCCACTTCCCTTGCTTGCCAGTGCTGGGAAGGTAGTCCATGGGATAGCCTATACTTCCTTTCTTTTCTCACTGTATTTCCTGTTCTTGCCTGGTAGTTTTGCTCATAACACTACCTTACCCAACCTTTTTTGAATCAGCAGTCCCAGTTATAGTTAGATCTTTCTTATATCCTGTATTCTGGCTGGCTCTGCAGAGCTGAGAGTCTAGGGTTTGATGTGCAGAGACTGGTGAGGCTGCACCTCAAATACTGTGTTCGGTTCTGCGCCCCTCACTACCAGAGAGACACTGAGGTGCTGGAGCGGGTCAGGAGAAGGGCAGTGAAGCTGGTGAAGGGTCTGGAGCACAAATCTGATGAGGAGCAGCTGAAGGAAGTGGGGCTGTTTAGTCTGGAAAACAGAGGGCTCAGAGGAGACCTTATCACTCTCTACAACTGCCTGAAAGCAGGTTGAAGTGAGGTGGGGTTGGTCCCTTCTCCCAAGTAACAAGCAATAGGACAAGAGGTAACAGCCTCAAGCTGCACCAGGGGGGGTTTAGATTGGATATCAGGAAAAATTTCTTCACAGATGGGGTGTTCAGGCATTGGAACAGGCTGCCCAGGAAAGTGGTGGAATTGCCATCCCTGGAAGTGTTCAAAAACCATGTAGATAAGACCCTTAGTGACATGATTTAGTGGCAGACTTGGCAGTCCTGAGTAACAGTTGGACTTGATGATCTTAAAGATCTTTTCCAACCTACTAGATTCTATGATTCTATGAAAATGTCAGCTAGTAGGACCCATGCCGAAGTATATGCAGAACAGGTTAAATGAGACAGTTGTTGCTAAAAGCATGGGACCAGCTGCAGGATGGGTCTGAAACATGGTGAAGACAACAGGCCTGAGCGCTGCTGAAGGTGAGGCATCCTGGTTATTGTGTCAGATCACTCTGTTGGTTAAATGCCTGTGCCTGTCTGCATCCCCAGAAGAGAACTACTATGTTAGGAAAGGTCCTAGAGAGTGAATTTCCTATCTGGTCTTGATCCTGGATCTGTCTTGAGGTCCTGTAGGAACTGAAGAATCCCTAGGTTCCTGTAGTCCAGCTTTTCTCAAAAGTTTCCTCCTAATTGCTGTGCGCTCCTTGGCTATTGGTATTCCCTCTTCCTTAGTGGGGAAGAAATGGATCCAAATCCAAAATGGGGAAGAGCCCATAATCTGCAGTGCATGTGGGAATTATGTCTGTATTCCTCACCAGGAAAGGATCCAGCTCCTGAAGCTTGCAGCAGGGCGCTGCCAAAACTAGAGCTGTCACAGGCATTCATGGTCCTCTGGTATATGTCCTGTTCAGAGCCTGCCCTCTGCATTGCTCCAGGTCCACTTAGTGCTGATACTGAGATGTTC